ATCCTAGCACTTGTGGAAGCTGAGGCAGGAGGATTGTCAGTTCAAGTCTCATAGTTTAGTGAGACCCTGTCTCAAAATAAAAAATGAAAGGGCTAGCTGTCTAGCTCGGTGGTAGTGCAATACAGATATACATGTGTCAATGCCAGGAACTAAGAGAGAGATACATATATACATTTCTTTTCATAATTTAAGACCAGGAGCCTGGCATAGTGGCCTGTGCCTCCCAGCATTTGGGAGGCTGAGGCAGGAGGATTATCCATAAGCGAAAGGCCAGTCTGCACTAGGAAGTGAAATCAGGTCTCTCAAAACAAAAAACAAAAAACAAAAACAAAAACAAAAACAGAACAGATGAAAGAACAAGGAACTTGTCACAACTGAGTAAGTTTTTCTTGGTACTCTTCACATTTTGTGTTTTTAGAAGTTGGATACTGTATGTGGCATGATAAATATGCAGTCTCTTTTAACTATTACTGTTTTTCCGTATTTGGAGCACAAAAGAATAGAATTTTTAAAGAATTAATTTGTATATTTTAGGTCTGGGCAGTGTTTGTTAATGCTCAGGTTTTTCTTTTCTTTGTTTTTTACAGTACTGGGGATGGAACCAGGGTATGTCAGGCAGTGCTGTACCACTGAGTTTATACCTCTAATCCCTTGGGTGTTTTTAAGTTGGAGTTTGACATCTTGAGAATAAGGGGTTTATCAATCATAGAAGTTTGAGTAAAGCATAAGAAAAGAAAGTTAAGAATGAAAAAACTAAGAGTTGTAACATAAGTAGTAGTATTATCTTTAGGGAATTTAGTTTAATAATAAGTATCCTTTCATTTAAGTATTATACTAGATATCGTTCATCTATGAATTGACTACTGCGTCTTGGAGAAATGTTCTATTTTATTCTTATTATCTGTTATATAAACAACCAATATAGGTTAAAGAAGTTTCTGGATTGTGAATTGACCTCAATTTAATTAAAAAAAATTGGGGGGGCATGTCCTGTGATAGACAGTTACCACAATTATTATTGGATTTAATATGATAATTTAGATTTGCCTTAACTGATACAATTTTCAGTTTTGATTTTAGTATTCAGGAATTATTCGGGTCTTTAGATATGTAAAAGACCCAATAATTACATCAGGAGAGCAATATGGTTAAGTTCTTTGTATTACTCTAAATACTTTGTATTTGCTTTTGTATTTATAATTATGAAAATATTCTCTACTCATTTAATGCTGCTGATAGATTTAAAAATAGAATCAACCAAGATTCTGTCTGTATTGCTTCATTTCCATCAAATTCATTTTATTCCTTGTTATGGTCTATTTCACTTTTACATTGATATTTTAAATATTTTATTCATAACTATCATGACAGTAAGAAAATTGACCAAAGTCAAATGTGTTATTTTTCTTTGACTCTTTCCTTGCTTTTGTGCTCATGGCTTGAGAGAGGAAATAAATAGAGCAGGAGAGAGATGGAGGAGGGGATTAAGCCAGTGAGCCCTAGCTCAAGAAGAGAAATACCTTAAGAACACTGCTCATGTTTAAATTTAATAATATATATTATTTTCCAGTTATAGCCAATATGATTTGAAAAACTTTTTTGTCTTCTTTGTTCTTTAAGTTAACATGATTATAGTTTATGTTTGTAAGTAATAGTTTTGATGTCAGTAGGATAACTTTAGAATATTTTAGAGTTGTAAAACTAAAAACTTTTACATTATAAACTAGCTTGTTGATGAGTTAAAAATTGATTGAATTGGCTGTCCCTTTGAATTGGAAAGTTGGAATTTTAGGGAATTCTTTGCCAGTTTACTTAAAAAAAAAACTCTGTGATCGTGTTACTCAATAAGAAAGAAATTGCTGTGTATATTTGGATAACTGTTTTGAGGTTTTCTGAACTTAATTTTGTAATATTTAGTTATTAATTAATGAACTTTAAAGTTCATTCAAAATACATGCATGTTATACCCAGAGAATAGTCTGACTGATAAAGCTGTTCTTAGGAAACATCAGCAAATACTGTGGTATGAACATTTCTTTTTATTAGAGTAGTCTTAAAGTTCATTCATATTTGTTCATGTGTGGGTTAACTGATAATGGCTTGAGCTGAATCTTTTCTGGGATACTTTGTTCTCATTGGTTGCTCCTCCCTCTTAGCTTTTCCTGAGTAGAATTTATTAATCATACCAATTTATCAAAATGCTCATTGGATACAGATGATTATTTATACTTTCATGTAAGCCCTCAGTTAGGATCATCATAAATGTCTTCAGAAATATAGGTTGGATATTTAATTATTTTTGACTAGTAACCTGATAGTCTATTAAGTAGTTATTTTATCTAACGGTCTAGCACATAGTAGGAATATGTTCAAAAGTGATTTCATTTGTATCTCTTCTGTTTTTCTCTTAAGTTATACTTACAGGGTAGTTGCCAAATGGTATCAATTATCACAATAACTTCAGATATTGATGAGTAATTGTCTTGAGGAACATCACTTAAAAAAAAAAAAGTATTGGTATATAGTGGGTCCTGGTGGCTGAGGCAGTGGGATTGCAAGTTTGAACCAGCCTAGGCAACTTAATGATTTAGCAAGAGCTGGCCTCAGAAAGAGGGGTGTGGTGGTTAAATATGTAGCTTAGTGCAAAGGCCTTGGAATCTCCGAAGCCCCAGCTGTGTGAGTTTGTGAGTGTGAAAAGGATGTTAGGATTAACACTTGAGGAATTTTATGTATTTGGTACAGGGTTTCACTACGCAGGTAGGACTCATAGTGATCCTCCTGTTTTCAGCCTCGTCAGTGTGGGATTACAGGCTTGTGCCACCACACCAGGTGTCTGTGGCTGGCTCAGCACACCCAGGGGTGGAGCTGTGGCAGCATGTGGTGCAGGGATTGGAACCCCAGTCCCTGCACTTGCCTAAGCAGGCACTTAGTTTGCTGAACTATCTAGCCAGCCTTCAGGAATTTTAGGAATACAGTTATTTTGTATGGAAATTTAAGGCAAACTTCACAGCAATGTAAAAATAAATACCATAATATTTGG